AGGTATTTTCCCATCGCATCTACTTGCCCATCTGTTGAAGGGAAAAGAAATGGGAAGAGAGAAGAGAGAACGAAGGAAAGAAACGAAGGAAGGGGAAGAAAAAATGAACTAGGTTCTGCGGCTGATATGCACCCTGAGAGTTCTCCGATGTGGATTTCCCAGTGATGATGTACATACATTGCTTGAGAGCAAATGGAAGCTATTATCTATGTTATCGATTCTCGTCATTCTTATTGTAATCCGATAAATCTTCTTCAATAACCAGTTCTTATACTGGAACTGAAGTGTTCTCGTTCCAACGATCTAGTGGCGATTTCTGTTCTCCGAGATACGCTCTTTGATCGCGTTTCATTTTCGCCGAGCGCAATCGATCACATCGAAGAGTTTACCACGGCAATTCCTATCGATTTTTCTGTACTTGTTATAGGAAGGCAGTCGATTCGGGTACACCGTCAGTGCCGGTGGTAGCAAGCATTTAGCTGATGCTTGAACAGGATCTAGCCTATCTACCTGAAGATGTTCGTGAACAGCTAGCAATACTTGAATTGGAACTCAGTGAAGGTTGCGTGATTGAAACGATTTGTTTTTGTTACTGGAACCGTTTCGATAGTTTCACTTCAATTCTTGTTTTCGTTTTTTGGCCCGTTAAATGGTCGTTTTCAAATGTTTGTCGGTGGATATTGCTTCTTTTAACTCACGGAAAGAAAATGATTGGCTGTTAATTAGCCTTCGTTATCCCTATTTATATCTTTGTTATAGTGAGTTTTCTCGTCATCTTCGCCTCCTTTTGCCTTGTTCCCCCCCCCTTCTTACAGATTAGAGGTTAAATCAAAGAGTGGATAACAAACTAGTGCTCATATAGCTGCAGTTCTGATGCGCAAATAGTGTAGGCTATTACGCTGCGTTCATAGTTGCGTGTGCGACCACCAGCGTCCAGGAGTGGAGAGTATGCGGAAGTAGGAGGGTAGCAGACAGCTGGGTTAGTCGTCGTTAAGTTTCGGTGTGTGCACTGCACCGTGCAAGTGCACTACAGCGTATGAAAATTGCATGATTCCATGCTTTAGCAATAGTACGGCACAAGCCGCAATTTCACGGTGCCTAATCCGGCCTGTCTGCTATCCTCCTTCCCATGTTCTCCACTCCTGAACGAACGCTGGCGGGCGCTGGTAGCGACTGGCGTTTGCTAGATCGATATCTATACCTTTCTGATCGCTGGCGGTGGCGTATGCCCGAAACGCTGGTGGTCCGCTGTCGTGGACGCTGGCGCGAATAGTGATGAATGCTGCGCTTAGTTGTTCCTTACAATGCGACATCACTTTTATCTTGTAAGGCTACAATTCCGGTGTTGTTGAGGCGTTGCTTTATGCCGTCAGCGTTTGAGCGACTGCGCCGAAAGTACAGGCTTGCTCTGTAGCTACTCAGATTAATTCGGACAAGCTCTACTCTCGTACTCTTGAACGCCCACTTTTTTTGAATGCAGGAGTATTGCAGCATATACTGCGAGTCTGCGGGTCCGCCTCTGCTCCCTGATTGGCCGATCTGATTTGGGGAGGAGAGTGAGCGTACTGATGAAAGCTCCTGCCACGCTAGCCGTCGGCTCTCTCTCTTCCTGTAACTGCTGCGAACTCCTGACAGCAGGATATACTGCCATGCTCGGACCACTAGGCGAGAAGCCTCTCCCCTCTTATTGGCTAGCCACGCCCTCCTGCTGTAAAGCTGCGACGGGCACTACTGACAGGTGCTGCCCAGTGACGAGCTTTGTACTGGCTATAGCGTTTTGAGCGTGTGCGAGCGTACCGCAGTGTTCTGAGTGGCAAGGAAAGTGCAGATATCGATCTGGCGTTTTGACCGTTTCGCAGTAAGTTGCTGAAAACGGTGGCGTGCCCTCAAGACGTTACGGTGGCTCAGAACGCTTACGCAAGATATGAACGCTTTGGCACTGTATGAGAAACCAACTTTCGTGCGAGTTCAGCTCATTTAGATTACATCTTTTCTTGATGGAGCTGTAACGTTCAACAAATTTGGACCACATGCGCCACCATTTAGGATACACGCGGAGAGAGGCGCGTTGTTTTACTACTGCGATTTTTACTCACTTTTTGAAGTATCTACACGTTTTAGATCCCGGATCTTTAATGATCTTTTATGTTTACTCTACGATTTATATTTCTGTAGTCATCCTCAAACACGTGAGTACCTCTCGAGTCAGAAGTGTAGCGCAGCTGGACTATGTATTTCAATTGCTCTGAAATCATTTTCTATGAATGGAATCTGGCAGAGCATTATTTTTGCCCGCTGGTTTTTGCCACGACGCCGTTTGATGTACAGTCGCCATTACGGAGCGAGTGTCAACCATTGTGTCAGTCATTTTGAGTTTGGACATTTGTTGCGAAGCACAGCTTGTTCAGATACCGTACCACGTAGATATATTGTAGATGATTTTCCAGTGATGGCGAAAAATAAAGTTTAACATTTTACACGGGGGAGGGTGTATGGATCCTCATTTAGCACTGAATAACAAGGCAAAAGTGCGCGTGGCTGTGCGAGGGCTAATGTCGTTTGGACGCGATTTCTTTCCGATGTGGAGTCATTTATGAAGTGCCTAGATCACCGAATC